ATCAAAAAACGTTGAAATATAGTTCAAATTCAATAAAAATCGACAAAAATACAGTTTCTAGTTAAAATTTGATGGTTTCGTTGCACTTTCCGAGCCCGTAGGGTATCTGATTGGCTTAAAAGTACAAGAAAACACTTCAAAAGTGACGTTTCTGAAGAATTTTAACAGTTTTCTTGTATCTACGAACGCCAGAATGCATAAAATTGACCTAAACGTCTCCTTTTCCTATTCTGAGTCGATTCTGCATGCTTTAAGTGTGTTTGGTGGCTCAGAACCATCAAAAAACATTGAAATATTGTTCAAATTCAATAAAAATCGACAAAAATACAGTTTCTAGCTAAAATTTGATGGTTTCGTTGCACTTTCCGAGCCCGTTGGGTATCTGATTGGCTTAAAAGTACAAGAAAACACTTCAAAAGTGACGTTTCTGAAGAATTTTAACAGTTTTCTTGTATCTACGAACGCCAGAATGCATAAAATTGACCTAAACGTCTCCTTTTCCTATTCAGAGTCGATTCTGCATGCTTTAAGTGTGTTTGGTGGCTCAGAACCATCAAAAAACGTTGAAATATAGTTCAAATTCAATAAAAATCGACAAAAATACAGTTTCAAGCTAAAATTTGATGGTTTCGTTGCACTTTCCGAGCCCGTAGGGTATCTGATTGGCTTAAAAGTACAAGAAAACACTTCAAAAGTGACGTTTCTGAAGAATTTTAAGAGTTTTCTTGTATCTACGAACGCCAGAATGCATAAAATTGACCTAAACGTCTCCTTTTCCTATTCTGAGTCGATTCTGCATGCTTTAAGTGTGTTTGGTGGCTCAGAACCATCAAAAAACGTTGAAATATAGTTCAAATTCAATAAAAATCGACAAAAATACAGTTTCTAGCTAAAATTTGATGGTTTCGTTGCACTTTCCGAGCCCGTAGGGTATCTGATTGGCTTAAAAGTACAAGAAAACACTTCAAAAGTGACGTTTCTGAAGAATTTTAACAGTTTTCTTGTATCTACGAACGCCAGAATGCATAAAATTGACCTAAACGTCTCCTTTTCCTATTCTGAGTCGATTCTGCATGCTTTAAGTGTGTTTGGTGGCTCAGAACCATCAAAAAACATTGAAATATAGTTCAAATTCAATAAAAATCGACAAAAATACAGTTTCTAGCTAAAATTTGATGGTTTCGTTGCACTTTCCGAGCCCGTTGGGTATCTGATTGGCTTAAAAGTACAAGAAAACACTTCAAAAGTGACGTTTCTGAAGAATTTTAACAGTTTTCTTGTATCTACGAACGCCAGAATGCATAAAATTGACCTAAACGTCTCCTTTTCCTATTCTGAGTCGATTCTGCATGCTTTAAGTGTGTTTGGTGGCTCAGAACCATCAAAAAACGTTGAAATATAGTTCAAATTCAATAAAAATCGACAAAAATACAGTTTCAAGCTAAAATTTGATGGTTTCGTTGCACTTTCCGAGCCCGTAGGGTATCTGATTGGCTTAAAAGTACAAGAAAACACTTCAAAAGTGACGTTTCTGAAGAATTTTAAGAGTTTTCTTGTATCTACGAACGCCAGAGTGCATAAAATTGACCTAAACGTCTCCTTTTCCTATTCTGAGTCGATTCTGCATGCTTTAAGTGTGTTTGGTGGCTCAGAACCATCAAAAAACGTTGAAATATAGTTCAAATTCAATAAAAATCGACAAAAATACAGTTTCTAGCTAAAATTTGATGGTTTCGTTGCACTTTCCGAGCCCGTAGGGTATCTGATTGGCTTAAAAGTACAAGAAAACACTTCAAAAGTGACGTTTCTGAAGAATTTTAACAGTTTTCTTGTATCTACGAACGCCAGAATGCATAAAATTGACCTAAACGTCTCCTTTTCCTATTCTGAGTCGATTCTGCATGCTTTAAGTGTGTTTGGTGGCTCAGAACCATCAAAAAACGTTGAAATATAGTTCAAATTCAATAAAAATCGACAAAAATACAGTTTCTAGCTAAAATTTGATGGTTTCGTTGCACTTTCCGAGCCCGTAGGGTATCTGATTGGCTTAAAAGTACAAGAAAACACTTCAAAAGTGACGTTTCTGAAGAATTTTAACAGTTTTCTTGTATCTACGAACGCCAGAATGCATAAAATTGACCTAAACGTCTCCTTTTCCTATTCTGAGTCGATTCTGCATGCTTTAAGTGTGTTTGGTGGCTCAGAACCATCAAAAAACGTTGAAATATAGTTCAAATTCAATAAAAATCGACAAAAATACAGTTTCTAGCTAAAATTTGATGGTTTCGTTGCACTTTCCGAGGCCGTAGGGTATCTGATTGGCTTAAAAGTACAAGAAAACACTTCAAAAGTGACGTTTCTGAAGAATTTTAACAGTTTTCTTGTATCTACGAACGCCAGAATGCATAAAATTGACCTAAACGTCTCCTTTTCCTATTCTGAGTCGATTCTGCATGCTTTAAGTGTGTTTGGTGGCTCAGAACCATCAAAAAACGTTGAAATATAGTTCAAATTCAATAAAAATCGACAAAAATACAGTTTCTAGCTAAAATTTCATGGTTTCGTTGCACTTTCCGAGCCCGTAGGGTATCTGATTGGCTTAAAAGTACAAGAAAACACTTCAAAAGTGACGTTTCTGAAGAATTTTAACAGTTTTCTTGTATCTACGAACGCCAGAATGCATAAAATTGACCTAAACGTCTCCTTTTCCTATTCTGAGTCGATTCTGCATGCTTTAAGTGTGTTTGGTGGCTCAGAACCATCAAAAAACGTTGAAATATAGTTCAAATTCAATAAAAATCGACAAAAATACAGTTTCTAGCTAAAATTTGATGGTTTCGTTGCACTTTCCGAGCCCGTAGGGTATCTGATTGGCTTAAAAGTACAAGAAAACACTTCAAAAGTGACGTTTCTGAAGAATTTTAACAGTTTTCTTGTATCTACGAACGCCAGAATGCATAAAATTGACCTAAACGTCTCCTTTTCCTATTCTGAGTCGATTCTGCATGCTTTAAGTGTGTTTGGTGGCTCAGAACCATCAAAAAACGTTGAAATATAGTTCAAATTCAATAAAAATCGACAAAAATACAGTTTCTAGCTAAAATTTGATGGTTTCGTTGCACTTTCCGAGCCCGTAGGGTATCTGATTGGCTTAAAAGTACAAGAAAACACTTCAAAAGTGACGTTTCTGAAGAATTTTAACAGTTTTCTTGTATCTACGAACGCCAGAATGCATAAAATTGACCTAAACGTCTCCTTTTCCTATTCTGAGTCGATTCTGCATGCTTTAAGTGTGTTTGGTGGCTCAGAACCATCAAAAAACGTTGAAATATAGTTCAAATTCAATAAAAATCGACAAAAATACAGTTTCTAGCTAAAATTTGATGGTTTCGTTGCACTTTCCGAGCCCGTAGGGTATCTGATTGGCTTAAAAGTACAAGAAAACACTTCAAAAGTGACGTTTCTGAAGAATTTTAACAGTTTTCTTGTATCTACGAACGCCAGAATGCATAAAATTGACCTAAACGTCTCCTTTTCCTATTCTGAGTCGATTCTGCATGCTTTAAGTGAGTTTGGTGGCTCAGAACCATCGAAAAACGTTGAAATATAGTTCAAATTCAATAAAAATCGACAAAAATACAGTTTCTAGCTAAAATTTGATGGTTTCGTTGCACTTTCCGAGCCCGTTGGGTATCTGATTGGCTTAAAAGTACAAGAAAACACTTCAAAAGTGACGTTTCTGAAGAATTTTAACAGTTTTCTTGTATCTACGAACGCCAGAATGCATAAAATTGACCTAAACGTCTCCTTTTCCTATTCTGAGTCGATTCTGCATGCTTTAAGTGTGTTTGGTGGCTCAGAACCATCAAAAAACGTTGAAATATAGTTCAAATTCAATAAAAATCGACAAAAATACAGTTTCTAGCTAAAATTTGATGGTTTCGTTGCACTTTCCGAGCCCGTAGGATATCTGATTGGCTTAAAAGTACAAGAAAACACTTCAAAAGTGACGTTTCTGAAGAATTTTAACAGTTTTCTTGTATCTACGAACGCCAGAATGCATAAAATTGACCTAAACGTCTCCTTTTCCTATTCTGAGTCGATTCTGCATGCTTTAAGTGTGTTTGGTGGCTCAGAACCATCAAAAAACGTTGAAATATAGTTCAAATTCAATAAAAATCGACAAAAATACAGTTTCTAGCTAAAATTTGATGGTTTCGTTGCACTTTCCGAGCCCGTAGGGTATCTGATTGGCTTAAAAGTACAAGAAAACACTTCAAAAGTGACGTTTCTGAAGAATTTTAACAGTTTTCTTGTATCTACGAACGCCAGAATGCATAAAATTGACCTAAACGTCTCCTTTTCCTATTCTGAGTCGATTCTGCATGCTTTAAGTGTGTTTGGTGGCTCAGAACCATCAAAAAACGTTGAAATATAGTTCAAATTCAATAAAAATCGACAAAAATACAGTTTCTAGCTAAAATTTGATGGTTTCGTTGCACTTTCTGAGCCCGTAGGGTATCTGATTGGCTTAAAAGTACAAGAAAACACTTCAAAAGTGACGTTTCTGAAGAATTTTAACAGTTTTCTTGTATCTACGAACGCCAGAATGCATAAAATTGACCTAAACGTCTCCTTTTCCTATTCTGAGTCGATTCTGCATGCTTTAAGTGTGTTTGGTGGCTCAGAACCATCAAAAAACGTTGAAATATAGTTCAAATTCAATAAAAATCGACAAAAATACAGTTTCTAGCTAAAATTTGATGGTTTCGTTGCACTTTCCGAGCCCGTAGGATATCTGATTGGCTTAAAAGTACAAGAAAACACTTCAAAAGTGACGTTTCTGAAGAATTTTAACAGTTTTCTTGTATCTACGAACGCCAGAATGCATAAAATTGACCTAAACGTCTCCTTTTCTTATTCTGAGTCGATTCTGCATGCTTTAAGTGTGTTTTGTGGCTCAGAACCATCAAAAAACTAAAAAAACGTTGAAGAGAAAGATGGCGACGGCGACAGGCTGCTCGTCAGGTACTTCTAACTTCTCAGTCTGCAAAAAGTGCAAATCAAAAGTAGTGACAGCCATTAAGTGTGTGAACTGTAGTAATGTATATCATTCAAGTTGTGCTAAGTTGGTGCCGTCTGTAAGACATGTGGATGTTGAAAATAAAATCCTTGTTTGTTGCGACGCTGTCGCACTCAGCGCAGATGAGGACGACGCTTTCTTTGATGCCGTAAATGCCATAGCTGGACAAGAGAAAAAAATAGATGTTGCTATATTTAATTACATTGTGAAGCAAAAAGACATTTTAATTAATGAACTGAGGGAACAAATAAGAGCTCTTAGAGAAAGTGACGGTGCTAAAAAAGGTGATAACAACATAGATAATCAGGGTGCTCCAGCCTTGGAGAAGAGAGATATAAAACATCAGTCTCTCCACAAAAACGTTAAGAAGAACAAACAAAATGATAGTGCAAAAACTTCGAAATCAATCAGTTTGAATGTAAATAATAATACTGACATGAATTCCGTCAACGAATCAACCAAACCAGATGAAAGAGGGCAAAATGATACAAGCGTGGTCCCTAAGCAGGACGAATGGCAAACTAGCAAACACCGGAATTCACGTAAGAGGCAACGGGTGATAGTAGGCGAAAGTGAAGAAAACGCAAATGGGGTGGCAACGCTACAGACCGTTCCGAAATTCATCGATCTGCACGTGTACCGACTCCATCCATCTACGACAGAAGCGGACGTAATCGGCTATTTGAAACCGATGTTCAAAGAAGTGCTGTGTGAGACCTTACCATCAAAACATCCTCTACAGTATTCGTCTTTTAAGGTTTCTTTGTATAGTTATAATTTTTCTAAGGCTATGGACTCTACCATATGGCCGAAAGGGGCATGCATTGATAAGTTTTTTCAGTGGAAGAAGAAGAATCAGCCTACTCAGAAGTAATTTTTGCTCCAGAAGTCATGTTATTAAATGTTCAAAGTCTGAATCCTAACAAGAGCCGACTTTTGGAGGTTGAACTTTCTAAATGCAGGAGTGTAAAAATTCTTTGTCTGACGGAAACATGGTCAAATTCGGCCTCGATAAACAGTAATAGTATCGATGAATTTAAATTGGTAAGTCACTATAATCGCCTCTCTTCGAGGGGTGGAGGTGTCGCTATTTGGTTAAAGATGGACATGTGTTGGGAAAAAATTTCGTTGAATGCGTTCTGCGTAGATAAACACATCGAACTATGTGCTGTCAAACTCTTACAAAATAACACTTCAGTTATTGTAATAACTTGTTATAGATCTCCAGATGGAGATCTTAAGACATTTATGGACAATCTAAACGATGCGCTAAATTCAATTTTCAAACCTTACAATAAAATCATTTTGTGCGGTGATTTTAATATAAATTCGTTTATAGAATGTAATGATTACGACATCTTATGTAGTTTATTAAAATCGTATGGGTTAGCTGATAAAGTCTGGTGGCCAACTCGTGTTACTCAATCAACTGTTTCTATTATTGATCATGCTTTCACTAACATTGAGAACGGAACATGTTATGTTTTCGACAATATTGTTTCAGATCACAGGACAGTTTATTATGAAACTGATATTTTTAAAATTACCCCTAAAACAAATAATAAGGTCTATGAGTTAAAGAGAATTTTTAGAAATGCTGATATTCAAAAATTCCTCTGTCGGTTGGTAAATCAAGATTGGGATGGTTTGTACTGTTTGAATGATTTAAATGATGCATTTGCTTACTTTTATGGAATCTTTCGGAGTCATTTCGAGGACCAATTCCCACTTAAAATGCGTACAACTAAGACAGATACGTATAGTAGGAGGTGGATAAACTCAGAAATTTTAACATCAAGTATTAAGCTAAAAGATCTGTACATTATGAAAAGTAACTACCCTCAGCTATCCTGCATTTATAAACAAGCTAAACTTATTCATTTAAAATTGGTTAGAAATAGTAAAAGGAGATTTTTTCAAAACAAAATTTTTACATCCGATAACCCTAACAAAACTTTATGGAAAATTATTTCAGAATTAACACACAACGAACCAGAGATCTCTAATAACATCGAAATTTCAGTAAAAGATACTCTTTTAAATGATCCATCTTTAGTTGCAGATAGCTTCAACGAGTTCTTCAAGCAAGCCCCTAAAGATCTCATAAAAAATATTTCAGTGAGGAATAATACACCAGCCGATAGTCATAATATTGATGGTGTTAATCAAACTTTATTTCTTCATCCGTATGTGGAGGAAGAGTTGCTTTCTCTTGTGAAAAATAAAATAAAACCTAAATGGTCGGCCGGACCAGACGATATTCCGCCACCCATAATTAAAAAAGTACTCTCTGCAATTATAACTCCTCTAACGTACCTTATAAATTTGTCGTTTGAAAAGGGTCAGTTCCCGGAATTACTAAAAACATCAAAAATTATTCCCATACATAAGAAAAAAGATAAGGCTTGCATGGAGAACTACCGTCCTGTTGCAATTAGCTCTAGTTTTTCAAAAATTTTTGAACAAGCATTTTTGTGTCGCTTACAAAAATTTTTAGACAATCATAATGTACTTAGTAAATACCAGCATGGTTTTCGTAATAATCTTTCCACAAATACTGCCATGATTGATTTGTATAACAATGTTGTTTCAAAAATAGAGGCGGGAGAGTGTCCTGTTGGGATCTTTTGTGATCTCAGCAGGGCATTCGACTGCGTAAATCATAATCTGTTGATAACCAAATTATTCTCTTATGGATGTAGAGGTAATAGCTTGGATTGGGTAGTATCCTACCTCGAGAACAGGCATCAGTACGTTGTAATTCCGAATACCAATAAAGAAAATTTTAAAAATCAAATCAGTTCTAACATAATTGACATAGATGTAGGTGTGCCCCAGGGATCAGTTCTGGGACCCATTCTCTTCCTTCTTTACGTAAACGACATTGAAAGCATCTTTAAAAATGTATCACCTGTTTTATATGCTGATGACACGTCGATTATAATTTCAGATCGCAATGAAGTTCAATTAGAAAGAGAGGTTAATATTTTAATGACGAATCTCCAATCCTGGTTTTCCACCAACAACATTTATATAAACTCTGAAAAAACACAAGTTATAAGATTTCGTAATCGCCAAAACACCTGTAAGTATATAGATCTCAAATGTTCAAATCTACAGCATAACACTGTCGACACCATAAAATTTCTAGGTCTTATGGTAGATACAAATCTCAACTTTAAGTCACATGCCAAAATACTGGTTCCAAAATTAAACTCACTGTGTTATCTTCTAAGAAATTTAAAGATAATTTTAAATATTGATCAATTGGTTAATATATACCATGCTCATGTGGAATCCAGAATTAGGTATGGTATTTGTTTATGGGGTGGGTCACCAAGCGCAGCCAATGTGTTTATTAGTCAAAAACGTGCCATCAGAACAATTGCCGGTGCAAGTAAACATACAAGCTGCAAAAGCCTTTTTAAAAAATTAAATATATTGACTCTTCCGTCATTATACATATTTGAAATGAGTGTTCACATTTATAAAAACCGACATAATCTAACGTATGTCCATAACGTACATAAAGTAAATACCCGACAAAAACATCAGATTCATGTTCCGTTTAAACGTTGTAATGTTGGTGTGTTAGCAACTGATTGTATGGGAGTTAGAATTTTCAATTACTTGCCAGTGAATATTCAAAATTGTCAGTTAATATCATCATTTAGGAAAAATTTAAAAGTATTTTTAACAGATAAATGTTATTATTCCCTAGGTGAATTTTTTCAAGGTTGATGGCATGTTGACAATATCATTTTGTCTTTTTGTTATTTTGCTTGTTAAATGTTTAGTTTTTAATTTTTAGTTTTAGTGTTTCTTTGTTTGTATTTTTTTTTCTTTTTGACTTGTCTAATATACTGTTATACATATATGTATCTGTGGAGACCAAATATATATATTAATAATATTAAAAATATAGTTCAAATTCAATAAAAATCGACAAAAATTCAGTTTCTAGCTAAAATTTGATGGTTTCGTTGCACTTTCCGAGCCCGTTGGGTATCTGATTGGCTTAAAAGTACAAGAAAACACTTCAAAAGTGACGTTTCTGAAGAATTTTAACAGTTTTCTTGTATCTACGAACGCCAGAATGCATAAAATTGACCTAAACGTCTCTTTTTCCTATTCTGAGTCGATTCTGCATGCTTTAAGTGTGTTTGGTGGCTCAGAACCATCAAAAAACGTTGAAATGTAGTTCAAATTCAATAAAAATCGACAAAAATACAGTTTCTAGCTAAAATTTGATGGTTTCGTTGCACTTTCCGAGCCCGTAGGGTATCTGATTGGCTTAAAAGTACAAGAAAACACTTCAAAAGTGACGTTTCTGAAGAATTTTAACAGTTTTCTTGTATCTACGAACGCCAGAATGCATAAAATTGACCTAAACGTCTCCTTTTCCTATTCTGAGTCGATTCTGCATGCTTTAAGTGTGTTTGGTGGCTCAGAACCATCAAAAAACGTTGAAATATAGTTCAAATTCAATAAACATCGACAAAAATACAGTTTCTAGCTAAAATTTGATGGTTTCGTTGCACTTTCCGAGCCCGTAGGGTATCTGATTGGCTTAAAAGTACAAGAAAACACTTCAAAAGTGACGTTTCTGAAGAATTTTAACAGTTTTCTTGTATCTACGAACGCCAGAATGCATAAAATTGACCTAAACGTCTCCTTTTCCTATTCTGAGTCGATTCTGCATGCTTTAAGTGTGTTTGGTGGCTCAGAACCATCAAAAAACGTTGAAATATAGTTCAAATTCAATAAAAATCGACAAAAATACAGTTTCTAGCTAAAATTTGATGGTTTCGTTGCACTTTCCGAGCCCGTAGGGTATCTGATTGGCTTAAAAGTACAAGAAAACACTTCAAAAGTGACGTTTCTGAAGAATTTTAACAGTTTTCTTGTATCTACGAACGCCAGAATGCATAAAATTGACCTAAACGTCTCCTTTTCCTATTCTGAGTCGATTCTGCATGCTTTAAGTGTGTTTGGTGGCTCAGAACCATCAAAAAACGTTGAAATATAGTTCAAATTCAATAAAAATCGACAAAAATACAGTTTCTAGCTAAAATTTGATGGTTTCGTTGCACTTTCCGAGCCCGTAGAGTATCTGATTGGCTTAAAATTACAAGAAAACACTTCAAAAGTGACGTTTCTGAAGAATTTTAACAGTTTTCTTGTATCTACGAACGCCAGAATGCATAAAATTGACCTAAACGTCTCCTTTTCCTATTCTGAGTCGATTCTGCATGCTTTAAGTGTGTTTGGTGGCTCAGAACCATCAAAAAACGTTGAAATATAGTTCAAATTCAATAAAAATCGACAAAAATACAGTTTCTAGCTAAAATTTGATGGTTTCGTTGCACTTTCCGAGCCCGTAGGGTTTCTGATTGGCTTAAAAGTACAAGAAAACACTTCAAAAGTGACGTTTCTGAAGAATTTTAACAGTTTTCTTGTATCTACGAACGCCAGAATGCATAAAATTGACCTAAACGTCTCCTTTTCCTATTCTGAGTCGATTCTGCATGCTTTAAGTGTGTTTGGTGGCTCAGAACCATCAAAAAACGTTGAAAAATAGTTCAAATTCAATTAAAATCGACAAAAATACAGTTTCTAGCTAAAATTTGATGGTTTCGTTGCACTTTCCGAGCCCGTAGGGTATCTGATTGGCTTAAAAGTACAAGAAAACACTTCAAAAGTGACGTTTCTGAAGAATTTTAACAGTTTTCTTGTATCTACGAACGCCAGAATACATAAAATTGACCTAAACGTCTCCTTTTCCTATTCTGAGTCGATTCTGCATGCTTTAAGTGTGTTTGGTGGCTCAGAACCATCAAAAAACGTTGAAATATAGTTCAAATTCAATAAAAATCGACAAAAATACAGTTTCTAGCTAAAATTTGATGGTTTCGTTGCACTTTCCGAGCCCGTAGGGTATCTGATTGGCTTAAAAGTACAAGAAAACACTTCAAAAGTGACGTTTCTGAAGAATTTTAACAGTTTTCTTGTATCTACGAACGCCAGAATGCATAAAATTGACCTAAACGTCTCCTTTTCCTATTCTGAGTCGATTCTGCATGCTTTAAGTGTGTTTGGTGGCTCAGAACCATCAAAAAACGTTGAAATATAGTTCAAATTCAATAAAAATCGACAAAAATACAGTTTCTAGCTAAAATTTGATGGTTTCGTTGCACTTTCCGAGCCCGTAGGGTATCTGATTGGCTTAAAAGTACAAGAAAACACTTCAAAAGTGACGTTTCTGAAGAATTTTAACAGTTTTCTTGTATCTACGAACGCCAGAATGCATAAAATTGACCTAAACGTCTCCTTTTCCTATTCTGAGTCGATTCTGCATGCTTTAAGTGTGTTTGGTGGCTCAGAACCGTCAAAAAACGTTGAAATATAGTTCAAATTCAATAAAAATCGACAAAAATACAGTTTCTAGCTAAAATTTGATGGTTTCGTTGCACTTTCCGAGCCCGTAGGGTATCTGATTGGCTTAAAAGTACAAGAAAACACTTCAAAAGTGACGTTTCTGAAGAATTTTAACAGTTTTCTTGTATCTACGAACGCCAGAATGCATAAAATTGACCTAAACGTCTCCTTTTCCTATTCTGAGTCGATTCTGCATGCTTTAAGTGTGTTTGGTGGCTCAGAACCATCAAAAAACGTTGAAATGTAGTTCAAATTCAATAAAAGTCGACAAAAATACAGTTTCTAGCTAAAATTTGATGGTTTCGTTGCACTTTCCGAGCCCGTAGGGTATCTGATTGGCTTAAAAGTACAAGAAAACACTTCAAAAGTGACGTTTCTGAAGAATTTTAACAGTTTTCTTGTATCTACGAACGCCAGAATGCATAAAATTGACCTAAACGTCTCCTTTTCCTATTCTGAGTCGATTCTGCATGCTTTAAGTGTGTTTGGTGGCTCAGAACCATCAAAAAACGTTGAAATATAGTTCAAATTCAATAAAAATCGACAAAAATACAGTTTCTAGCTAAAATTTGATGGTTTCGTTGCACTTTCCGAGCCCGTTGGGCATCTGATTGGCTTAAAAGTACAAGAAAACACTTCAAAAGTGACGTTTCTGAAGAATTTTAACAGTTTTCTTGTATCTACGAACGCCAGAATGCATAAAATTGACCTAAACGTCTCCTTTTCCTATTCTGAGTCGATTCAGCATGCTTTAAGTGTGTTTGGTGGCTCAGAACCATCAAAAAACGTTGAAATATAGTTCAAATTCAATAAAAATCGACAAAAATACAGTTTCTAGCTAAAATTTGATGGTTTCGTTGCACTTTCCGAGCCCGTTGGGTATCTGATTGGCTTAAAAGTACAAGAAAACACTTCAAAAGTGACGTTTCTGAAGAATTTTAACAGTTTTCTTGTATCTACGAACGCCAGAATGCATAAAATTGACCTAAACGTCTCCTTTTCCTATTCTGAGTCGATTCTGCATGCTTTAAGTGTGTTTGGTGGCTCAGAACCATCAAAAAACGTTGAAATATAGTTCAAATTTAATAAAAATCGACAAAAATACAGTTTCTAGCTAAAATTTGATGGTTTCGTTGCACTTTCTGAGCCCGTAGGGTATCTGATTGGCTTAAAAGTACAAGAAAACACTTCAAAAGTGACGTTTCTGAAGAATTTTAACAGTTTTCTTGTATCTACGAACGCCAGAATGCATAAAATTGACCTAAACGTCTCCTTTTCCTATTCTGAGTCGATTCTGCATGCTTTAAGTGTGTTTGGTGGCTCAGAACCATCAAAAAACGTTGAAATATAGTTCAAATTCAATAAAAATCGACAAAAATACAGTTTCTAGCTAAAATTTGATTGTTTCGTTGCACTTTCCGAGCCCGTAGGATATCTGATTGGCTTAAAAGTACAAGAAAACATTTCAAAAGTGACGTTTCTGAAGAATTTTAACAGTTTTCTTGTATCTACGAACGCCAGAATGCATAAAATTGACCTAAACGTCTCCTTTTCTTATTCTGAGTCGATTCTGCATGCTTTAAGTGTGTTTGGTGGCTCAGAACCATCAAAAAACGTTGAAATATAGTTCAAATTCAATAAAAATCGACAAAAATTCAGTTTCTAGCTAAAATTTG